TGAGTGGTGCATTTAATCCATTTACATTCAGTGTAATTATTGACAAGTATGAATTTGTTGCTGTCATTTTGTTAATGTTTTTTCATGGTGCTGTTGATTTCTTTGTTCCATTAATTTTCTGGGCTGAGCTCATTTTGTTTATGAATTGTGTTATCTCGTTCATTGCTATTGTTTTAGCATTTGCTAAATATTTGTCCCTCTCCTTTTTATTTTGATGTGAAGGTTTATTATTTTCTTTGAGGTTACCCTGTGATTTATTATTTTCTTCCCAAGTTTAGAACAGTTTATTCTATCTTGCAATTATCTTGACTTCCTCACCATTTGGAGGTTCTGTACCTACATTCCCTCTTTTTGGTTTGCAGCTGTCCTTATTTACCAATTGATGTCTCTGGTTCTCTGTTCACAGTCTTGTGAGCTTATTTTACTTTGGATACTTCTATAAGTATCCAAATGTTGGTTTCTGAGTTATGTTGTCATGTGTGTTAATCATCAGTTGTTGTCTACTGTTGTTGGTTCTCTGTCCAAAGGACTCCCTTTAACATCTCTTACAAGGTTGGTCCAGTTTTAACAAATTCCCTTAATTTCTTTTTATCTGGAAATGTCCTAATTTCATCATCATATTTGAGGAACAACTTTTCTGGGTATATAATTCTGGGTTGTCAATTTTTTTTCTTTCAAGGTTTTATGTATATCATCCCTTTGCCATCTAGCCTACATGGCTTCTGCCAAGAAATCCAAGCTTAGTCTTATTGGTTGCCCTTGGCAGGTAACTTTTTGTTTTTCTCAAGCTGCTTTCAGAATTATTTCTTTGTCTTTGGTTTTCATGAGCTTGATGATGATATGTCTCAGTGATTTTCTTTGGAGATCTATCCTGTTTGGAGTTCGTTGAACTTCTTGAATGGATAGCTCCTTGTTTTTCATTGTATTAGAGAAATTCTCTTCCAACAATTCTTTGACAATTTTCTGTGTGGTTTTTTTATTTGTTTCTTCCTGCTCTGGAATTCTGATTACACAAAAGTTATTTCTCTTGATGATATCTCACATGAATCTTAGGCTTTCTTCATTTTGTTTTGATATTTTTTTTTCTGATTGATCCCTTGCCAAAGTAACATTGAGGTATTTGTCTTCAGTCTCACTAATTCTGTCTTCCATTGATTCAATTCTACTCCTTTGTCAATTTAATGTGTTATCTATTTCTGAAATCTTAGTATTAATCTTCTGGATTTCTATTGGGTTTTTTAAATCATTTCTAACTTTTTGTTTATTTTTGCTTATTTTTTGTTTGTTCTTGTATTGTTTTCCTAGATTGTCCTAGAGTTTTGTCTGTGTTTTCCTTAGTTTTGTCAATGCTTTCCTTGATCTGTCTTTCAATCCATTGAAGATACATAAATATAATTCTTTTCAATTCCTTATCATGGAGTTCCAAAACTCCTTCTTCCTCAAGTAGCTTCTGTGGGTCTGTATCTTGGTCCCTTGTTTGTACTACTTTATCTTGCTTCTTTGTGTAGATGGGGATGGTCAGTGGTCTCCAAGAGACTGTGATGTCATTGTATTTATATTTAATTGGTGATTATACGTTGGTGTGATTTGCCCAAGATTTTTTTTTTCTTTGTTTTGATATATCTGAGTGAGCAGGGTACTGTGCTTCTCTATTTGCTAGTTGGCAGCACTTAAGCACTCACCACCTGTATCCTGGTGGGTGTGATAAGAGAATGAGAGTGTGTGTACAAGTCTCTCTTAGCTGTTTGTGAATAGCAGTTGAGGGTGAGTTGGGCTGGTATTGGCTGCCACTTATGATTGGTCAGTTGGTACAGAAGCAAGTGGTGGCCCTCACTGGGTAGGGCCGCAGGAGGTGCAGGTGCAGTTGGGTCATATGTGCACAGTTGCTGTCTCCCACGCAGTTAGACAAAAAATAAATAAGTTATTAAAATAAATACCAAAAAATAAAAACAAGAGAACCAAAAGCACAGACTGCATAAACAGGAATAATCACACACACACACA